AGACAAGGAGTGATCTCTTCTCAACATTTTTTAGTCTATAGTTTATTTGGTTATTTTTTTTGGTGTAAATGCTCTCCTCTCTTTCATCATTATAGTTTCGCTTCATTGTTATCTAATTGGAGAGCATTTTTGTAACCCCCATATTGGGTTCTCTCCCTCTTTGTCATTTAATTTCATCTTATCAATGAAATTGTTTCCACTAAGGAAAAAAAAAATATCATGTCATCTTTCTTCTTTCACCTACAAAGCAACCACATTTTAACAATCTAATCAAACAAACCAATTGTTATCAAAGAATACCAATTCGACTGACCATTGCATCATTCAAGTTTCCTCTGGAGTTAAAACACCAAAAGTATAAGGATACATTCTACCAATCCACAATTGGCTGGTCTCACTATGGCATAAAGCAAAAATTCAGGAAAGAAGGTAGATTAGAGAGAGGTTGATAGTCCCATCTCAGATCTTGCCACAATCGACATTCAATTGTTTCCGACCACAAGCCCAAGATGGCCCAATTGGTTAGGGTTTGAGGTCTCTTGGTCATACTAGCTTTAGAGGTTTCAAGTTCGAACCTTCATGCGAGTTTAATACCATAAATCCTTGATGTATCCCGGGTCCGGGCCCTAGGGAGGGCACGGATGCCATTGGGTATAGGACAACAAAGCTCTGACTCCCGATTATAATAAAAAAAAAATTGTTTCCAACCACAAACTAATACCCCTCAACCATCATCTACCAAGTTCCTTACCCTAGAAATAGTCTTCCAGAAGCTTTTGCAACTAGAATAATTGCATTGGAATGAGTGCAACACAATCCCATGCCACAGAACCTCATGTTGAAAGCTCCTGTCCTTTCACGTTTTACTCAACCCAACTAGAATAATTCTTAGAACATCCTCTCGATCATCTTGGCTATACTACAAGATATTCCAGAGATCAAAAGAAAGTAGGTAGAGACTTGAGAGAATAGCAATAACTTTTTTTTGATAAGAAACCTTAGATTAGAAAAACTCAAAAGAGAAACAGCCTAAGGGCTGGGGTAGAGTCAACCCCACCCAGAGAAGCTATACAAAAGCTTTCCAATTGTGTAAGAAGGTGGAAAGATTGTAATTACAAAAAAAATTGCTATAGTTAAGGCACCACCAAGAAGTAGTGTGTTGAACACCACTACAAAAAGATTCAAAAGTAGAGTTCATATCTTCAAATATACGACGATTTCGCTCTCCCCATAAATGCCAAAGAAGAGCCCTTGTAGCGCAATTCCAAATTACCCTTGCTTTTTTGGGAAGAAACCATCCCGTTAGCAATTCAGGAAGCCACCCATCAATCTGCTGAGGAAATCATAGGGAAATGCCAAAAGAATCCAGAATAAAAGACCAACATCTTGTTGCAAAGGTACAGTGAATGAAAAGGTGGTCAATGGTCTCCTCCCCACAAAGGCAAAGACTACACACCGAAGGGGAGAGTCAGAGTGCCCAGCTTGTGTTTTTCTTTTGGATGATCTCGTGAGTATTTAAGCTTCTGTAAGCCATTGACCAAAGAAAAACCTTAATTTTCTTTGGAATTTTGAACTTCCAGATGGAATTGATGAGGGGGACCTTCAGCAAGGGAGTGCATTCTGTTAATTTCAAAAAAAGGCTGATCTGGTGGTAAAATTTTGCTCTTTTTCCAGCATCCATAGAGCCTTATCTTCCCCTTCTCTTATCTGAACGGCTTCCAACCTTTGAATAAGGTCCAACCAGCTATCAATCTCCCAGTCAAAGAGCCCTCTGCATAGACCTAAGTCCCAATCTTTGCTCCTCCTCCCTCCAACAATCAGCAATTGGGGCCTTCTTTTTCATGGATATATTAAAAATGAGTGGAAAAGAGTCTCAAAGGGTGCTGTCATCAATCCATTTATCATTCCAAAAACTAATTCTCTCCCCGTTTTTAGCTTTGAAATTCAAAAACCTGTGAAAGAACGTGCTATTCTTCGCAATATCAAACCACAGTCTCCCTTGAGCTTTCCCTTTTGGGGGAATAGTAGACCACCTGTGAGCGGACTCACCGTAGATGCTGGCTATCACCCTCCTCCAAAGAGCATTTGTCTCCTGTGAAAACCTCCACAACCACTTAAGAAGAAGACTATTGTTTTTTTGTTGAAGTCCTCCAATTCCAAGACCCCCGTACTGTATAGGGAGTGACGTTTTCCCCCAATTAACCAGGTGGATGTAATTACCCTTCTGAGTATTACCATTCCATAGGAAATTTCTTGTAATCTTTTCTATATCCCTTACAACCCCCACCGGAGCTTTAAGAATGGAAAAATAGTAAAGTGGAATACTAATAACATAAGCATGTCCCCCAAAGAAAAGGGAGTTTTTCCTTTTGTAGCCTCCACTTGGATATCAATTCTAATCCCTTTTTGTAGTTACTGTCTTTCATTCCCCAAATGCAGAGCGCATATATAAGCTGTATGACTAAGGGGGTTCTTTTTCCTCCCTTATTTCAAACTTGCCAATGAAATATCTTTGAAGATCGCTAAAGAGACGGGAAAGAAGATTATAGATTTTCTATGGGCATCGACAATGAGGAAGGAAGAAGCAGCCATCTAGTATTTTTAGATTTTGGAAATTTTGTAGCACCCAGCTATCCTCTTTGGTTAAATGTAAACCTTTTTGTAATTATTTATCTTTGTAATCAATTCCGCTAGCAACAATGTTTTAGGCTCTTGTACTAGGTGACCTAGGTGTTTCATCCCCTATTGTGCTTTTCATGCCATCAGTGAGCGGGTCCGTTTCTCAGTTTAAAAAATCAAAGAAATGATTGCATTTGGAAGTCCATACTAAGTCCTAAGAGTGTCATTGTGGCAGTCATCAACAAATCGCTTAAATTTAGCCCATTTATTACTGCACAACATTTGTACTCTACTCTCAAAAGAAAATCAAATAGAATAAACTTAGTGTTGTAGTAGTACCTTTCCGCAATCCTGGACATACATCCTCTCCTCTGAACATAAGAGGCACATCAACTTTTAATAAAGCATGTGAAGGTGCCCTTATGAAAGTAACATTAAGAGGTGCATCAGTTCCCGCATGGAGATGAATCTGAACAAACATGAACGGTTCTAGTTCAGAAGAGGTATTATCTAACTCACATATACATTCTCACAAAATCTCACACTGATTTATAATCAAAACTAAACTAAAATTACCATTTTTGTATTCTGAATATAGAACACAAACAAATAGATGAAATATAATGATCATGATGGGAGCAATCGTAAAATTAAAAGATACATTGCTCTAATATTCTTCATACACGCCAAGTAACTCGGTTGCACTAAGCATATGAAATTTTTTATGGTGAAAACATTTGAATTCAAAAGTACAAAACATAATCTTTCTCCCTTCATTTCAGTACTTCCACCCATGAAACAATCAGCATTATTCTAATCTTACTCATAAGTCATTTCCCAAACTCACTAAGGTGGAATTTTCATATAATTTCCTAAAATGAAATTAACCAGCCGAGTTCGATCATAGCATACACTACCTTCCGAGGTAAAACCCGAACCTTCTCGATAATCTCCCCGGACTCAAACTCGGGGCGAACTTCAAGATCGAAAAGCCTGGAAAGGAAGAAGGAGCGACCGAGATGATTTACAAGCTTCCTAATCTGATTGGTGGGAACTGATATGAGACGCTTATTTCCGCCATGCTGGCCATCCTCTTGCTCGAACACAATGCTTGGAGTACGGCCAGCCTTGCGCTCTTTGGCGGAAATGTTCTTGCCGGAGATGGAGCGAGGAACGGCGAGGATTGTCTCGGCGTACTTGGGATCGGGTCTTGGAAGATCCTCCAAGTACGAAAATGGAGGTTCGGGATCTGAATCGAGGACGGCGGCGGTGGCGGCCGACGAAAACCGGCGGAGTAGGAGGACTCTTGTGAGAGTGGGAGAGTGGTAGAAGCGTAACATTGGGACGGCAAGGGGGTTAAGGGAGGGTTTATGAGAGAGCGTGGACCTCGACGGAAGAAAGGAAGGGGCTGATGGGCGGTGACCGGTGGCCGGTGGCAGGTGGGGACGTACCGGCGTGCGGCTGCGGCTGCGGCGGCGGCGGCGGCAAAGAGGGAGACTGGGAAGAAGAGAAGAAAGAAACGAACGGGAGGTGGACCAGTGGGGTGCAAAGGAAGGAGGGTCACAACCGTAGGGTTTGTTTTCTCTTTTGAGAAGAAAAGAAGAAGAAAAAAAGAGTGAAAAAATTTCAATTTCTGGCCTGAAATTCGAAAAATAATATTAATTTTTTTTAGTACAATGTTGGGGGAGAGATTAAGTATATGTCAACTACTGTTGAACTATGTTGGTTTTGACATTTTTTTTCTTACTTATGATAAGAATAATTTGAAATGAATTAAATTAAATTTCTTTGTTGAAAGTTCATAAGGAAGTTTTTAATCTAAATTTATTAATCATAAATTAAAATATGACAAAATTTAATAAGTAATTTATTTTGAAATTCTATCAAATCAGGTAAAAATCCAACCATTTGGATCCATAAAATTGTTTAAGTAAAAATAAGATTCGTAATCTAACTAGGTATCAAATAATAGAATCCATTTGAAATCTGTCAGGTACATACTTTTAATTTTATATCTAATAAGTCAACTTTACAAATCTCTAATGGGCAAACTTTAAATTATGTGTATAATAAGTTTCGACATATTCGACGTTTTTAAAATCAGCTTATTAGACAAATTGCATTTTTGTGTGTAATTATCATGAACTTTTAACTTTTTTTTAGAAAGAAAAAATTCATTAAGAAACAAAAATCTTGATTAGCCAAAGGACCGGGCGATCAGGAATAAAAAACTCACAACATTCACTTTCTTAACACTTAAAACCTTATGCGCTAGACAGTGGGCATAACAATTACCCTCTGAAATCCACCTTATTGAAAGAGATGACACGGCCACAAGAATCCTTGAGATTCAAGATTTTGCTAACCACCCATGTTATTTCAATAAGATTATCTTCTTCCATTCGAAGTAGCTTTGCCACTTCAGTGAATCGGTCTCCACTTGAATTGAGGTTCTGCATCCCCTCCTAAACAGCCATGGCCTCTTACATCTTCACAATCCTTCGATTGTCGATGAAAAGGTTACCCATAAGAATAACAACACATTTCCAGTGTTGGGTTTTATTTTTTCACATTATGAAGGTCCACATGGGCCATTACTTTGTTTAGGGTTTTTTTTTTTAACTTTATAACATGTGTGCAATTGCCTAACACATACAGAGAGGGAAAAAAGAGCTGCACGTAGAACGAGGAGAGAGAAACTGAAAGTAATTTGAGAAAACAAAAACTTCCGTATAAAACGGTTGTTAGCACGATTAGGGGTCGATCCATGATCTGATCGAGGTGAAATTTTAACAGCATGTTCACAACACAAGAGTCTTCAATCTTGATGGTGGAGATTTCTTTTGGAGTTGCCTATAATCAAATATAGTAGGTAGTTTGTGCCACTTTTAAGTGAGATCTTTCTAATTTTTTGCTCCGGTTTATTCCCGTATTTGTCGAGATTTGTTGTCTCGAGATATTATTATTGTATGCCTCTTGTTGTTGCTAGGGAGAATCTGGTATAGCTCATTATTGATTATAGTGGAGATTTTAACTTCAGTCCATGGTTGTTCAATCCTCGCATTGAAGTTCCTACAGAGGTTGTTGCATATTTTTCATGAAGAGACATGTGGTGGACTTTTGGAAATTCAAAATTATTAATTAATATCAGATTTATTTCCCTTAATTTCCATAATCACTCTCAATCTCCACAATTTATCTCAATCTCCACAATTCTTTCTCAATCTCAACAATTTCTCTCGATTCCCACAATTTTCTTTATTTTTTTTTCCTTATTGTGACTTTTGATCTCCACTCTTCATTCTTCTTTTCCATAGATCCAATGGTCCAACTTCATCCTCGAAATCTATGTAAAGTCATCAAATTCATCTTCCATTTCATAAAACATTTCTCTCCTTAATTTCTTTTGAAATTCTACAAAACTTTCATTTTATCCTAAAAAACAAAATTGCTCATCTTTTTGTGAGAGGTACATTATAGAGTGTGACTTATGAAACGTGGAAAGTTTTGGTTGCATTAAGTTTTTTTTTAAGAAAATAAAAAACCTATTTTTGGCCTTCTCATCGCTATATATACAACATTCGTCTGTCACTCCAAATCATCTCATTCTCTACCCTATTCTCTCATTAGAGTTTTCTAAGGTCTTTTTTAGCATGAATTTGATTTCACTCCGTTTTGACGATTAAACACCTTACTCGGAGGTTGTGCTAACTTTGGAGAACATTTTGGCAATACAATGATGTAGCACTAAGGTCGTGCCAATTTTACTTTCAAGGTAGTGGTTTTGCTCACAGTATAATGACAAATTTTCTTGCTGTTTCAATTTTGCCCTTCTCCTTTTTAACAATTTGAAAGCAAAATTCACGGCTGCTATCCGACCCAAGAAGGTCCTGTCATACTTGTTAAAATTCCAGGCACTAGACGGGTACAACTATCGTCGTTGGTCCTAGAACCTATTGATTTTCTTTGAGCAGTTAGAGATTGATTACATCCTCATTGCTGCTGAGCCTGCTGTCGCCGCTACTGGCACTACTGTTTAGACTACAGTCACCGTTTCTGTTCTCGCTATTGATTCAAAAACGTCTACTATCGTTGTCGTTGATATTGACAAATTAGAGAAAGACAACAAAAAGGTCTGTGGGAATCTCCTCAACCATATGAACGACACTCTCTTTGATTTGTTCGTAGTCCAAAAATTAGCAAAGATTATTTGGGATACTTTAGAGTCCATATATAATTGAGGACGATGCAGGCAACAAGAATGATGTCATCGGTATGGCTACAATTTCAGATGTTGGATGACAAACCAGTAATGGTTCAAGTTCATGAGTATGAAAATCTTGTGGCGAATGTGTTGTCTGAAGGCATGAAGACGTGTGAGATTCTTCAGGCGAATGTACAGCTTGAGAAATTCTCTCATTCCTTAAGCGATTTGTTAGCTTTACGAGCTTCAATCATATCATATGTTTTGATGATAACAAATTGTATTCACTAATGACTTTAGTAGTTCAAAGTGTTCATAGTGTAAGAGCTCGGAATGACGATTCCAATGCCTTTTGAATCACTCAAATTGGAGTTTAAACGAACAAGTTATGGTCAAAACAAGTTAGGAGAAAAATTCTACGTGGCGGGTGACATGAACAACTGGACTACTCAGAAGTTGACTTGTGGAATCAAGAGGACACACTTATGCCGATATGGCTTCTAACAATCGAACAAATTAGAAGATTGACATGTGGCACTTTCAATATCCACAAGCCCATTTCCACAAATTTCTCTCAATCTCCTCAATCACTCTCAATCTCCATAATTTCTCAATCTCTACCAATTTCTTTTAATCTCCATAATTATTCTTACTCATTTTTCTTTATCTTTCTTCTTCATCTCAACCATTCATTTTTTGTTGCCCTAAATCCAATATGGCCAAAATTCATTCTTGAAACTCTATTTAAAGCCACCAAATTTCACCATCCTACACACCAATTATCAAAGCAAACATCTTTCTCTCTTCAAATTATTTTGCTCAAAAGTTGTCGTATATATATATATATATATTTTTTGTGAGAGATATATTAGAATGTATCTTTTTAGTTATTGCTTTAGTGTGAAATTTGAAAATCCACCTTAGTGAGGTAATTTATTTCCATTGCTTATTTTACATTTTGGGTTTTGTATTAAGGTGTGGGTATACCTTAGGTTGTGAGAAAAAAAAATTTGTTAGATCTTGAACCAATTAAAAGGATTGTGGGTTTCTCTTTAGCCTAGGACAAAAAGAGGGTCGATCGGTTTGGTTCTAACCCGTAAAAGAGTTGGTGCAGTAAAATACCTAAAAAGGAGTCTTGGAAAGTGGAGTAAGAATTTTCAAACCACTATAAAAAGCTCTAGTGTCATCTCTCTCTCTACTCTTTTAATTTGTGCATTTCAATTTTGTTTGGTTTTTGTTATTCTTCATTTTATTTTTAAAATCTAAAAGTTGGTATGCAACACTAGCAACCCCTATTCACCCCCTCTAGTGTTGCCATATCGATCCTACACTATTATCGCAACCACTTGAAACACAAAAAAAAGACCCGACTTTGCATGAATTGATTAGTCACTTGCGCACAGAGGAAGCCAATAGGCAAAAAGATAAGTTTTCTTCCCAATCCATAAATTTAGTTAATGCTAGTCTAGTTGAATCTTCTAGTGCTTTCAAACACAAGTTAAAAAAAAAAAGGAAAACATCTAAGAATAAAGCACAAAAGAAGAAAGGATTCTAATTCAAAAATTGTGGTGGAAGAATCGAGAAGCCCAAACTAGTCTATTTTGTTAGTGGAAAACTAGGACACAAATCCTACCAGTGCACCCAGAGGAAATGGGTGCAAGATCAAAAGCATGCTTCACAATCTAACCTTGCAGAGATTGGCAAAATCATTGTTGTGGATATATTTACTAAGGTGCTTGACAAAAACAAGTTTGAAGAACTCAGAAGTGCACTTGGTGTTGTTGACCGTGCATTTGCACTAAGAAGGAGTGTTAAAAATTAGTGCAAATTTATGTTTACATTTGCACTAAGGGGGAGTGTTAAAAATTAGTGCAAATTTATGTTTAATTATCATGATAGTGTCTGATAGGTTTTAGGAGTTCATATTATTGGGAGTAGTGGTGAGTGGATGTAAACTTGAGGAGAAATTTTGGGTAGAGTGATTTAATGGCATGGTGGTGTTGGGTATAGAGAAATTCAAGAGTACTGGCTTAGGGGTCGATTTTCTTAGTTCCCTGTAAATACGTGTAACTAGTTTTCAATTTCAATGAATCAAATCGTTCCTTCATAAATGTTCTATCTTGCTTCCTTTATATTGTTCATCTTCGTTTTTCGTTACGCCACCTTTCCTTCTGATCTTAAATTGCGAACCGTGCACAACTCTGTTGATTTCGTTGTTTATACTTAATCTTTCCTTGTTCTATTTATGCTAATCGTAGTAAAGAATAATACTTGTTTGGCTACCATTTTCTTTAAGTTGATTTTTAGAGTGATTTCGTTAAGTCAATCCTTGCGGAGACAATCTTTCGTTTATTCAATCCTTGCGGAGA